CACACACACACACACACACACACACACACACACACACACACCATGGCGCACATACCTGCACACATACACACAAAATAAATTAAGAATATGTATCAATAATAAGGTCAAGGTGATGTCCTAGGTGGTCACTTTAGCACACCAGGAAAGGCCTCTTGATTCAATTCCACATTTCAGATTTGTTCAGATTAGTTGCAAAACCACATAGCAACCTGAGGATGAAGGCTCCCCTGAAGACACAATGAGGCACTCCCAGAAGACTGGGTGGGCTAAGCTTAGTGCTAGAATGAAGTATCATGTAGAAAATTTGTGGGGACACATTAAAGGAGAGTAGGAGTGCCCCAGAGGACACATCTTTTCATATTTTAAGATCTCAGAGACAAATATTTGTAATATCCATGGCATCATAGCATCTCAGTGGCCGGCAGCAGCATTTGTGACTCAGCTGTCATTGTATAGCCTTGATAATAGCTGTTCATATTTGCATGTGTCCTCTTGAAAAGCAAGCATTGTTGCTAGTTGCCATTTAAACTGTTTTCAGAAACCTTCCCCTGTAATTTAACTGTGAAATTTGGATGCAGAAATACATGGAAATAGAGGATCAGGGCAGCACATTAGTATTAGCTGTACATTCCCTCATTGGACAGAGAATCAGGGCTCTGCATGTCTTGCAAAGCAGCTGCCAAATGCTTCCCTGGACCTCAGAAAGGAATATATCCCCCAAGTAAATGGAGCCCTGTTACATTTTGTTCCTGCTGTGCATGGAAAAAACATTATCGTCACACACTAAGCAGTGCTATTGAAGAAAAGAGAAATGACCAAATTTCTTGAAACAGACAGAAGAAATTTCAAAGCAATAAGAGGTACGATGTCTCATCCATGCATAATGCAAGACTATTGTCAAAGCTTCAGATATCAATTGAACTAAACTTTCCTGATGATTTCAAACGGACACTGCCATAGGTCAAGTCCCATGCGTAATAAAATTAGAACACATGAGTTTGCCAAATAAGAAATAAAAAATATCAATGTGCTTTGGTTGTTGTTCTTATGTCCCTTTAAGTGATACTGGGAATGCTACAGACATTCACAGAGGAAGATGCAGGCTCATGATACCCAGTCACAACTCCCGCTCTATAATAATGCTTCACTTAAATATTTCTAGCCCAATTTGCAGACATTTAACTATAAACCACAAAATGGCCACAGGGAACGAAGCTTCCCCCAAAGATGTAGTAACAGCATTGCCGCTAAGTGCATGGACTGTGGCTTAGTTCTGGAACTGGCTGAATGGATGTTCTGGTGTGTCTCCCAGGGCAAGTAGGCACATCCTAGACCGAGAGAAGATGGCAACCAAGACATAGAGGAAACTAAGCCCATTTGCACAGCAGCTTCTCCGTGGCAAGGTGCCTTGCCATGCAGACATGTGACTAAAATGGCAGCTGGGCCCCTGATACTACACAGAGTTCTGGGTAGCCACCCAGAGGTGGCACATGCTGTGTCCAGCTGCTTAAAGAGCTACATGATTCTGGCTGCATCCCTGTTTGCCTAGAGTAGAGCTTAGTGTTTACTTGACACTGCAGGAAGATTTTTGAATTGCAATGTCATAAAATCCTTATAGTTTCCACATTGTCCTGTAGAATACTGAACACATGGAAGGCCCCCGATACATTCATTGTACGGTGGCCCAAAAGGCCAAAAGTTTACATGAGCTTGGTCATCAGGAATGACTGCCAGTATATGTACATGTTTTTCTTCTTTTGGTTACTTTCTTTGTCAGTCATGCAGAGGTGTCCTTCAGGGTCTTTTATGATGTGCCTTCTCCGGAGTCCGTGCTGCATTTACCTCGGCTTGTGTTCCTCTCTGCCATCTCACCCAGGTCTCTGAGCAGAGAAGGCTTTGGGGGCTTCTGGTCACTTCATTTTCTTTCTTTTAAATCTGTATCATTTCTGTGCAGTGAAAATGAATCATCATTGGATAGAAAATTCTTTTAAGTCATCTTGGTTTTAGCAAAGGCCAAACAGCACGGCTCTGCATTTAGCTAAGTGGTTAAATTGAAGCTCTTATACTGATAGGAAATATCTGAGACATGAATTAAAAATAAACAGTGGGCTTGGGGGTGAAGGCTCGGCAGCTAAGAGTGCTATTGTTCTTGCAAGAGACTGGAGTTCAGTTCCCAGCACCTGTTCTGGGCAGTTTACAACTTCCTGTAACTCCAGCTCCAGGGGATCACGTGACCTCTTCTAGCCTCTGTAGACACACAGGTGCAAATACACAAACACACACAGAGAGAGAGGGCGGGGAGAGAGGGAGAGAGAGCAGATTAATTTCTGAGTGAAGAATTTGTAGTCTAGCAAACATGATATTGAAGACACTGACTAGATGCAGAAGGGAAAGTGAAAAGAAAGACAAGAGATACTTGGATGGACAGACTGACAGATATTAGATGCTTCATGCAATAGGCTTGTGCTTTAGAATCAAGCAAATACACACCTTCTTTAACAATGACGTAGGGGAAAATCCCACAACAATACAAACAAAAGCAAAGCAGAAAGCCTCTTCCATGCTTTCTGGATTTACTTTACTATTATTAAGAGTACTGGGGATGTCTTTGTTTTAAAAAGAACATTCTATTTCAGAGCTAAGACTGATTACAAGTTTATGCCAGCCAAGGAAAGACATTGAATACTGTCACCCCAATTTACCATGTCACTAATTTGGCAACAGGGGGATTATTCTTAATGGATTGAAAGAAAAGTATCATTTGTTTCCCTGTGTGTATCTAAAGCTAATATTTCATGCTTCTTAAATTTCTAAGCTATCATGTCACAGACTGCAAGCACTGGCAGGAACATCAAGACATACCTATAGCAAATCCCCTCATTTCACAGAGGAGAAAATAGCTAAGTAAATTGACTACTGCCAAACCTTACAAGCTGCCAATAGAGCCAAAAGTAGAACCCGAGTACTGACTTTTTCAGCTCTCTTCCCAGGACAGGTTTGTGGATCACGTGACCGTTACCAAGGATACCCTTCTTACTCATTGGACTACAGGCTGGTGGCAGTAAAATCTAAGAATGCCAGGAACCCCTCCTCTTTAGACAGTTTCTCAAGCTTACTAACCACAAGAAAAGTATATGAAGGTAGATTTTGATTGGAGGAATTCATACTTAAACCTAAGAGATCAAAAGTCGTAACATGGCTGCCCCAGAAAGACAGCTATACAAGAGCAAACTGAGAGACAGTGGGTGCCTCTTCCCACTTCTCAGGTGAGGAAACAGACACATAGATACACACACACACACACACACACACACACACACACCACCACCACCACCACCACCACCACCACCAACAACAACAACAACAACAACAACAACAACAAAATAGACAAAAACCTCATGGCCACAGACAAAGTAATTTGAAGCAACTCTTTCTCCATGCTGGGCTGCACTCTGCAGCGTGGTGTCTGTAGCACACTGGAGACTTAGCTAGGCCTCTAGCCAATCAATAAATAATGCAGAGATGAGAGATTGAGGCCTCGGCAGCTCTACCAAGACCTATTAAAGGAATCTCAGTTCCCTTTGGAATTGCAGTCCTTCTCTCAGCTCTGCCAGGAGGTTTTTATTTTATTTGTTCTTGCAGTTTGGATGGCCTCCTCCATTGGCTGCGGGGTGGATTTGATTATGTCATTTCATTTGTCTCTTCCCAGCCTGTTTCTGTGGTTGAAGTGGGTTGGAAATGGACCCAGGACTCATTGTCTGAATGGGAGTGAAGAGA